TATTGCCTTCACGGGTCGTCTCATTGATTAAGCCCGTGTAACTTGAGCAAATTTTAGGCGCCTATCTCTGGTTGCATGCGGCATCTTAAGTGGATTTCTAGTACATTTTGGCCATAACGTCGAATTTCTGTGACGGTTTGCTTATCCGTCCGCCTAGCTCCCTGGCTGCCAGGCCCCTAAATTGTACTAGTTTATTCAAAACGGACATCGCTAACTGACAACGTCTTCACTTGATTGCCGAAAACCCCCGCCCCCAACTTTCCTTATCGTGATCCCTTTTCCTTCAGTTAGCGATAGATCCCTTAGCCAGGCGTCTCCTTTTTCCTGGTCTTGCTCCATTCTTGTTTTCCCCGAGTTTGCTTAGGCAGTAGGCAAAGTTATCGCTTACTCTACCTTCCCCCAATCCCCTTTTCATTAGATTTTTCTCCCCAAGGATGCCAATGCCCTCCCTAATCTTCCGCTTCCTTGTGTTGTCACCGTATAGTTTAACCGTTTTCGGCAGAACGTTTGTCGAGAGATTAACTTCACTTCTCTCTTTGACGAGTTCGTAACTTAGTGCGGAGAATGATAAAACTCACCGATGATGCCGGAGAAACGTTTGAGAATGTACCAAGTCCATTGTCTGATGCTGGGAATTATGATGACTACTATGGCAGAGGACTTCGGACTAGTTGCGTTCTACTAAGTCTCCTGTACAACAAGACCTAGTTGCGACAACGAGGTTAACCCACTTCAATTTATATTTTTATTCCTGCAATGTTGACGCATATGATTGCATTTCAGTGCACGTGCTGCGTGCTTGTAATACTTGTGAATTGCGTGAGATGTTAGAGTCATAACCAGCTTCGTACCCTTCCCCTTCTCAACTCTTATTCAATAGACGTAAGTGTTCTAGCCATATATATATAGCCCCACATATGTAGTTCCCTCTATCCTAATGGAAAATATTCCAAAATAATTGAAAATTATTCCATGTAGATAATTATATAGGAGGTGTAATTACTCTCGTACATGACACCAAATAGTCTGGTCTATTGCCAAACGCTTACCTGGATATGGATACGAGTAAACGGAAAATTAGAAAATCTATAGAAATAAAAAAATAGCCACACCGTGAATAGAAGGAATGAGTATAGATAATTAAGCGGAAACTACTTTTGGCTATTAAATAGATTAGAGAGTAAGAGGGGGAACGAGAACTATAGCTGAGCAAGAGGAGGTATGATTGGCCTCGAATCTGGTTATGACTAACATCTCACGCAGTTCAGGAGCATTGCATGCACACAGCACACGGGCAATGAAACGCAATCATATACGTCAACATTGCAGGAACAAAAATATACATTATTTGGGGGGTCAGCTGTTCGGTCACAATTTTATTCGTTTCTTGACTTTAACAAGCATGTACAAAAATCTTAGGGTATCCATCGAAATCATGAAATGCCTCATTAAGTGGACAAATTAGGCTATAAGAAGTTGGTTGGATTGCAACCGGCCACCTTTCTTGTCTTTGTGCTTGGTGAATTATCGTGAATCATGGTATTCTGCTCTCACGATATCGTCACATGACGAACGAAAATATCAGCAAGGAATCATCAGAGCTGCAGGATGGTGTGCCGAGTACTTATATGAACAAATCTGCAGTCACAGCTCCAAGGCACTCCACTTCTACTTCCGGTGAGACAAACTTACGAACCCCTTTCATACTCCTAATCAAACGAAATGGAAGGTACTCCAATATCAACATACTCCTCATTTCGATTTAACTTAATTTAAAGTTGGATCCACGGTAAATCTTAGTGATCTAAATTGATTACTAGAAATATGTGCTCGGGCTTCGGGCTACTGTATGGCGTACCCCGGCCTTGCATAGTAAAGCAAGAAAAAAAATGTATGAAGTACCACTTGTACAGAAGAAGAAAAGTTACGGGCTATGATTCGAAGTAGGAAGGCAAAGTCGCTGGTGAAGTGTGTTGCAAGTGCAAGAGGGCAGTTTTCAGTTACAGAGCAACGACGGGGCCCAGGGGGCGGCCTTGATCTAAGGGGGTTCTGGCTTAAAATACCCTTGTGCACTTTAAATGGCATGTTTTGAGTGGTGCGGTGACTAGGTTGGCTCAGTCCCCGCAGGACATAGTGTTGCTAGCGACCATGCTCTAAGAGGTGTTGTGGCGTTGAGAGATAACTACTTGTTAGCTGGTTTTGACGAGAGGTATTACCAAATAGAATGTGGAGTAAAGGTCTTTGCAAACTCTTTGTTTGCCTTTATTTTCATTTATGACGTATTTTGAGTATTACATCTTTAAGGAAAGGAATGTGTCTTTCCGAAATTTGTAGAAATAGCAAGCTTCAAAGCAAAATCTGAAATAAAGCTACCATCTATATGGTCCTTGGCAATATCCTTTAAAAAGCTATTTGTAATAACCTGAATTCTGTTTATAAACTTCCTGCATCGCTTTCATATCTAAAGGCTCCTTATCAATTAAGAGTAATTTCTTGCAAACAGAACCATCTGCTTATTTCTACGAACGCCTTGAAGGATGGA